ACACACTCTCTCTCTCTTCTCTCGCTTCTCGCCTCTTCGCCAGGCAGCCCAGGTCTGGCGGCGACGCGGGGTTACTGTACTTTGGCTGCCGGCACTGCGCGCGTCATTGCATGTAAAACTGCCGTCGTTAACGTTCATTAACGTGGGTTCTAGTTGAGCAAAGGTTGAGATTGTGGTGATCGGCACCAGGTTGAAGCTCCCTGCACTCGCTCTTCTCGCTCTCCCCCACGTCTCTCTCCGCTCTCTCGCTCCCCAACTCGCCGCTTTTAGCTTGCCTCGTCTGTCGCTCTCTCTCTCTCGCTCCTCACTCGCTCTCTCACTTGCTCTCTGTCCTCTCTCCTCTCTCTTCTCACCTCTCTCTTCTCTCGCACTATTCCTCTCTCTCTCTCTCTGTCGCTCTCTCTCTCTCGCTCCCTCACTCGCTCTCTCACTTGCTCTCTGTCCCTCTCTTCCTCTCTCTTTCTCACGCTCTCTCTCTCTCTCGCACTCTTCCTCTCTTCTCTCTTCTCTCATCTCTTCTCTCTCTCTCTCTCTCTCTGTCTCGTTCTCTGTCTCTGGTCTCTGGTCTCTGTCTCTCTTTCTCTCTCTCGTCTCTCTCCTCTCTCTTCTTCTCTCTCTCTCTCTCTTTATAACATATACGCGCTTTTGACTCGCTCTCCCATTCTCCGCAGGCAAGCAGGTCGGCGACACGGTGCTGTACTTTGGCTGTCGTAACCGTGACGTCGACTACATCTACCGGCGACGAGCTCGCCGAGTTACAGCAACGCCAGCGACGCTCACGCAGCTTCACGTCGCGTTCTCGCGCGACCAGCCGCATAAAGGAGTTTGGCGCCACGGTTTTGTTGCGTTAATGAGCGGCCGGCGTCGCGTCGGCGGGGTTAGGGTATGGGGAGATTTCGCCGGCTGTTAGAAGTTTAGAATTATATAAATATTACATAATATGGATTGCAGTGTTATATATTCATGTTATTGAAAGATTATGATGTGAGATATGTTCTAGTTTATAGATGTAGGATATTATGTGTGTTAATATACTGGCATTAAGTAGGCCTTCGTGGTTCTGTCGGTCCGTTTGGGTTGTGATATTGTGATTCTGTTTTCGGGGTGGGTATGTGGCATTTTGGGTCGGGGTTAAGTTTGTGGCGCTAAGTTAGCGAGAGAGAGACCGCGAGTGAGGGAGCAAGAGAGAGAGAGAGAGAGCGAGAGCGAGTGAGGGAGCAAGAGAGAGAGAGAATGCGAGTGAGGGAGCGAGTGAGAGATAGAGAGAGAGAGAGAGAGTGAGAGCTACTGACGATCACCAGGATCTCGACCTTTGCTTGACCAGAACGTGCGTCTAAGAGCGGTAACGACGGCAGATTTATGTGCAAAGACATGTGGTTGGATGAGCGACGGTTTGTTGTACTCTGCAGCCACGCAAAATACTCCGGTCGCTGTTCTGAATTGCCAATCTCAATTCGCAAGTAGAATTGCCAACCTCAGAGAGCGGCATGCAAAAACTGTATAACTAGATACACGCTGTTTTTTTTTTTTTATCTCGTACCTTCGCTCTTATAGTGGTGTCGCTCCTGTATGAACCCCCGGAACGGTGCCAACCCCGTTCCCGGACCGATCATCAACACGGGCGTCGACGTCTTGAAGGGCAGGCGGAACTGGGACTTGCGCACGAAGATGGGAACGCACGGCAGTGTCTCTCCAGCGGGCTGTTTCAGCTTCAGCCACGAGGTGGCGACACCGTGGTTCTGTCGTCCCGTCGGCGTCGCGTAGTCCGTGAGAACGGCGGTGATGTGAATGCTGTTCGGATGCACCTGGAGAACGAACGAGAGGCAGAAGCGTGATCAACGGAGAGAGAACACTGGTAGGGAGACTGTAAATGAGAGAGGTGTGGGAAGAGAAGTGGGGGAAGGGAGGTGGGAGAGAGGTGTGGCACCTACCTTGGGGGAGGAGAGGTGGGAGAAGAGGTGTGGCACCTACCTTGGGGAGGAGACGTGGGAGGAGAGGTGTGGCACCTACCTTGGGGGAGGAGACGTGGGAGGAGAGGTGTGGCACCTACCTTGGGGGAGGAGACGTGGGAGGAGAGGTGTGGCACCTACCTTGGGGGAGGAGACGTGGGAGGAGAGGTGTGGCACCTACCTTGGGGGAGGAGACGTGGGAGGAGAGGTGTGGCACCTACCTTGGGTGAGGAGACGTGGGAGGGGAAATGTGGCACTTACCTTGGGGGA